GAGGAACTCCAGGCCAGAGGAGTGGAGCCCCCACGTCCTGCCCAGACCCTCCTCACCGAGCCTCAGTTTCCCCATCCGTACCACCTCCTCGAGGGACCGATGGTGAGGGACACCCTTCCCCCTTCCTCTGCCTTTCTGTCTTTTCCAAAACAAATCCAAGTTAAGGGTGGGAAGCCGGAAGCAGACAGCAGCCGCAAGGGCTGGCAGCAGCGGGAAAGGCCATGAGCTGTGGCTGCCGTGAATCCTGCCTCCACTTTGGCCAGAGGCCTGTGCCTGTCACACGAGTTGGTGAATAGGAACGAAGCACATCTGTACCTAAACACAAAACTTCTAAGCCCTAGTTTTCGATTCCTGCCATCTTAGACCCCTGGTTCTCCCCTGTGTGCTGCCCGCAGGCTGCCCTGGACCTTGCGTCAGCAGCCACCACACATGGCACCCTGCCAATCTCCAGGACCCAGAGAGGAGGAAGCCAGAGCCAGCCCTCAGGCATCTGGCAACCTCCCCCTGACCACCCTCCCCGAGGATGGCCCACACTGGGAACAGTGCTGACCCAAAGCCCCAGACGCCTCAGACCAGCGGCGCAGTCGGCAGTCGGCAGGCTACCTGACCCCAGGCCCCAGCCGGGCTGCCCCTCCCCCTCTAGGTGGCACAGGAACAGGGCTTTCAGCCACTGTTCTGCTCCTCCCCTCAAAAATGCAGACCTGGCCACACTGTCCTGGACTGTGAGGACTAGCATGCATTTATTTGACAAAAAAGTCATTCAAAAATGCTGCCATCTACTAGCCATCATTTTACAAAGCAAACGTTTTAACTCCAACAAGTGGGGAGGATACAGCCTTGGGACAGAGGATGCTCCCTTTAAATCGCACAGGTTTAAGCTCAGCTTTCTGGAGAATTCACTGCATTCCAGTGACCATGGGTGGGGAGGGAACTGGCTCGGCTCTGAGGGCCCTCCATGGCCTGGCTGGTGCAGCTTCCTGCTCTGCAAACCCGCAGGGCTGTCTGGCAGCCCCCTCTCCTCTCTCCCTTCTCTCTCTGACTCCTCTACTCAGCCACTTCTCTCCACCTGTGGGAGCGAACACGGTGCTGAATATCCAGTGTGATGGGAGCTCAGGGAGTAGTCAGAGAGGGCTTCCTGAAGGAATCGCCTGGGAATGGGGGAGAGGAAGCGTCGTGCCCTGTTCCTGGAGTAGGTGGAAGGCAGGAGGAGCTGGTGGCTTCCAGCCTGGTGGAGCCTGAGTGGGCGAGAACAGCCTGGTCCAGGTGCAGCCCAGAGCAAGATTGGCACAGGCCCTGAGGAGACCCAAGAAAGCAGAGTCAAGGATCTGGAGCCTTTTCTCTTCGAGGCTGAGGTGGGGCTGCCTTGCCCCCTCCCAGGGCCCCACGCATGGGAGGACTGACTGAGATGTGGGAGTGGAGCACCCAGGATGGGGGCAGAGAGCCCTTGGCAGTGCTGTCCCCTCACTGCACTGCAGGTGCATACCTGTGTGTTTGCACGTGACTGAGCACACATGTGACTGAGTGTGTGCATGCACACACAAGCGTGTGAAGCCCAGAAGAGGAAGGCAGGCAGAGCCACAAGGGAGGGGACTGGGGGAGGGACCCCAGAAGAAGGCCAGTGCAGGTGGTCCAGGCCCCAGACCCTCTGGGGTGCCTGAGAGGCAATGAGGCCTTCGCCATCCCAGGGGACATCCCCTGGAGCCTCAGGAGACCCCCGCTGCCCTTGCCTCTATTGGCTCCTGTGACCGGGGAGGCCCTGAGCCCTTCCCCAAAGGCACAGAGATTTGAACCCAGGCCCAGAGGCTGTACCGCCCCTGAGGTGGGCCAGGTAGGAGTTGGAGTCCTCTCTCCAAGAAGCCCCTTCCTCTGTGTGTCCCCAGACCCCCCAGGGGATGCTCCAGCACTGAGGCTCAGGGGGTCCCAGTGCACCTGCGACACTGCAGGTGGCTAAGGCCCCTGAAGGACCCACAGCACTGGACACTGGAGATAGCAGGGTGCCCAGGACCCAAGATGGGCCTGGGGAAGGGGGTCAGGATGCCACCCCAGCAAGCGGCTGCACTCTCCAGGAAGCCCTCTCCGAGGACTGATTTGGTGAGAGGGACGAGAAGATGGACCCCAAGGAGCCGCCTCTGCGTGCCTTGCTCCAGGCTCTGCTTCAGTCCACAGGGGCATGGCCTGTGGGGCATGGAGGTCGGCAGGGGGACAGGCAGAACTTCGGCCCTCTGACGGACACTGCTTATCACCGGCCTGACCCGCATCGGAAGGCCGCCTCCCGGTCTCCCCTTCTCCCCTTCCTCCCTTGTCCTGCGTGCTGCATGCAGACCCAGAGTGGAGCCTCCGCCCCCCAGCTGCCCTCTGCCTTTGTCTCCTCTGCACCTGGTGGGGCTCGGGTTTCCCCCATCGGCTCTTGCCCCGGGCCATCCCAACACTCCCCGCCCTCCGGGCCAGCATGGTCCTGAGGCCCCCCAAATCGCCCCCTGCCCTGTTGGGTGGAAAACCAAGGGTGGGGCGTGGACAGGTGTGCAGACTCAGGCCCAGGTGCGCACAGTCCTAGTCTCGATGCCACCCCGCCGGCCAGCAGGGTGCGGTCCAGCGTCCCCACAAAGGTGCCAAGTGAGGCTGAGTGCCCAGGGCCCACTGACAGCCTGGCCAGGGAAGGCCTCCGGGCCTCCTGCCCCCACCAGCCTGCGCCCCAGGCTCCCGAGCAGCCCGGAAGGGTTAAGCCGGCCTGGGGACCGCGCCTTTGTTTGCGGATCTGCACCTGCGCTTGAATTAACCTGGACAATGAAGGCGAGACTGCACGAGTCCCACCCGAAAAAGGATCCACCCTCCTGTGGGCCCCAGGGGACCAGAGCCCCCCACACCTGCCTCCAACCAGCAGCAGAAGGCACATCTGCTCGCTCACGTCAGAGAAGTTTTCAGTTCTGCGCTGGGATTCTACCTGGTGGGCAGGTTTTGGGGTGTCTGCCCAGCAAGCCTGCAGCCTCCACCCTGTGCCCCTGGGGCTGCTGCTCTGGTGGGAACACCCGCTGTACCCAGAGAGCTGAGGCCCCCACCCCCTGCTCTGGGCTCCTTTTGCAGGGGGTGGGTGGTGGGGGTGGGGGTGATCAGAGCTTCTGGGGTAAAGCCCCTCCCAGCACCCACAGGACCTTCTGCGCCCACAGTGAGGCCTTCGCTGCCCTCAGGACACACACCAGAGCTGCCCGCACTCAGTCTTTATCCTGAGGCTTGAGGGCTGACCATCCCAGCTGGCCCCAGCCCGCCCACCGGGTGTGGCCCCACAGGCCCCTCCCCAGGGCAAGGGTCCTCCACTCACTGTGCCCCAATCACTCCCATCCTCCCTCCAGGGCCACCTCCTAGCAGCCCTCCCCGGACCGCCCCAGGGCACACGGACAGCTGGGGAACAAATGGCTCCTTTTGGCCTCAGAGGGCGCGTGTGGACATGAGGCTGCCGATGAGGATGCCCTCCCTCAGTTGCCTCTGCACGCTCCCACGTGCCCCGTCAATTCTGTCAATTCTGCCCGAGCTCAGCAGGGGCTGTGGTGGGCCCCTCAGCCCAGGCCTAGGCAGCACCAGCCCCGCTGGGGCCGCGGACCACGGTGCCAGGGCCCCAAGACCTCTGCTTTCTGAGTGGGGCACCTGTGCTGCTACAGTTCATGTTCCACTCAGGCCCACATGGGAGGAACCGTGAGCTCCGGGCCCCTCGCCCAGCGGTGCTGGATGATTCACATCTCTTCCCAGCTCAGGGCTCACGGCCGCACCTGGCAGCTTGACCGCCACAGTGGGTGTTAACACCATGGAAATGGGCAAATGATGGTCAGGCCCCACCCGAGGGCCAGCTGTTAAGCATTTACCAGCCCACCATGGCCTGGAACCGTCCCATGCCAGACCCTCTGAGACACATTCCTGGGGAGGAGGTGGCAAGACCCTCCAGTCCCCATCCAGGAAAGGGTCAGGGGTATGGGGGCACTGGTCTCCTGCAGGCCCAACGGACATGGCCACCAAATGATCCTGGGAAGCCTCGGGCCTGGTCAGCAGGGCAGTTGGAGCCATGGACAGTGGCCTTGGGACCTGGTTTTCTAAGAGCCCTGGGGGATAGTCAGAGGCTGCAGGCGGGACACCTGCCCTGGGAGGTGGGATCACAAGGTGGGGGTCTCCTAGACACAGAGGCCTCAGTGCCATCCAGTACCATGGAGGTTAAAACTTGTTGAAGCCACAAGTGTGGATGGTCTGGGCCCAGGTTGGAGCAGCCCCCGAGGATCCCATACATGGCTGGGGAGGGGTGAGGCCATGGCTCAGGAAGGGTCAGGCAGCCCTCTACACCCTCCTCACCACCCCAGCCTCAGGAAGAAGCCGTGCTGCCTCACGAATGGGACATCCAGTGAGATGAGTGTGGGGGCCACAGACCTGGCTCCTGGCCTCTGAATGCCGTTTCTGCAGGGGCGGGCTCTGTGGAAACATGGGCCCTGATGATGCCTTCTGAGGGTGCTCTGGGAACCTGTTCAGCAGGATGCTGGAAAGAACTGGTGCCCATCCCAGGGGACCCAAGGGGGTCCTACAGGTGCAGCTGCAGGTCAGGGGGAAGTCCTGAGATGCCCCGTGAATAATGAGAGCTCTTGAGGTGCAGGCTGTGCCCAGGGTCTGCTGCCTGGGTGGGGCACATGGGAGACCTTCCCTCCCTTGAGGCCACCTTGCCTGCCAGGGGACCACACAGTGGTATCCTATGAGGCAGGAGCAGCCCCTGTGGGATGTTATTGGTGAGAAGCAATGAGATCTGGTTTTGCAAGGTGGTGGGGGGAGGCGGGGAGAAGGGCTGAGAGTGGCCATGTGGGGAGCCAGTGAGCATGCTGGTGGAGGGAGGGGATGGGCACCGGGACCCTGCAAGGGGCCGTGGCGTGGTGGTGATGTTTCATTGTGCTGTTTACATGGGCCTCCGTGTCTTCGGAGGGAGAGCAAACCTTGGCGTCTTCCTGACCACTGACCACACGCATGAACTCACAGCAAATTAATCAAATCATTCTTTTCCAGGAAAACAAACACAGAATCCATGTTCAGGACATTTCCCCTCCCCAGACAATGACCCACTGGGTGAAACTCCAGAAAACTGCCTCGTCCACACAGACCTGGGAAGCCCAGACCCAGCCTGTGGGCAGTCAGATGGTGGTCCCCAGAGTTCCTGCTGCTGGTCCAGCACAGCTGGCAGGTTATAGGGGAGGGTCATGTCCCCCTGGGAGGCTCAGGAGGCAGATTTCTGCAGAAAGAGTTAAAAAGCCATCCAGGGTTAGTCACACAGAGGAGGAGGTGACACATTCACATTCGAGGGCTGAGGAGCGTTGTCCTGGTGCCTGTGTACGACCTGCTCCTCCTCCAGGAGCGGAGCTGCAGAGGCCCGGGGCTGATGGGGAAGGCACCACGCCCTGCCAAGCTCCCAGCCTCTCGCAGGGCCTCCCCTGCAGCGGCTCAGACGACGCTGTCCACCTGGGAGCATCACCCTCACAGTGACCCCACTTGGGAACCAAAGACACGGGGCCCAGGAGGCCAAAGACAGGAGGCCCAGGCCCCCACTGGGGCACCCTGGACAGACCAGGTCCCACCGGGGCACCATGGACAGACCAGGCCCCCACCACGGCAGCACCCTGCACTCCTGAATCTCCAGGTCACCCACCAAGTCATTTCCTCTGTGTCTTTTCCTTGTTCCAAGCTCTCCACCTCCCTGAACCCGAGCACACATGGCCTGGAGGATATACTGTGTGACTGTGCATTTTACGGCAGTTTTACAAGAGTGACGTGTCATATGAACTTTCCACCTGTGTCTGGGATGCCCCTGAGTCACCTGGACACGTCTCTTCCATGGAAGGCTGCACAGGCAGATGCTGTTATGACTGAACTGTGTCGCCCCTAAATTCTCACGCTGAAGCTTTGACCCCCAGAATCTCAGAATATGACTTGAAGGCCCTTGAAGATTGGGCCTTTAAAGAGTGACTCAGTGAAACCAGGCTGATAGGTTGGGCTCAAACCCAGTCTGACTGGTGTCCTTGTAAGAAGAGGAGATGTGGACGCAGACACGCTGAGGGGAGGAGGCTGCAGGGAGGGACAGCCGTCTGCAGGCGAAGGAGAGAGGCCTTGGGGGCAACCGGTGCTGCTGACACCATGATCTCGGAGCTCGGCCTCCAGGATGGTGAGACATGCATTCCCGCCCCAGCCTGTGGCGTTGTCGTGGCAGTGGAGCCCACCGCACACCCAGCATGCCAGCGCCGTGGGTGCCCAGCATGCCAGCGCCGTGGGTGCCCAGCATGCCAGCGCCATGGGTGCCCAGCATGCCAAGGGGCTGGATTCGCAGATGCTCCTGGCTGTAGCTGATGTGGCCGGACCACAGTGCTCCGCATTCCTCTCGGCACACAAGGCTCGCCTGCCCCACATCAGCCCCTGTGGCCATCAGCACTTTTGCTTTTTCATTTTTGCCAGTGTGACATGTCCCAAGTGACACCTCACCCCTCATGAAGCCAGTGCCCACCCAGGTCCCTTCCAGCAACGCACAGCCCCTGCTGCCCAGGGCAGGCCACCCTCGTGGTGACGACCAACTCCCGGGCAGGGTTGCCCCCAAGCCAACAGCTCCGTCCTCTCCCAGTCCTCCGCACTCCTGAGGTATCTCCCCAGAGGCCCCCACCTCCAGATGCCCCTGTCCCAGAGAGCAGCCCCCGTGTCTGTGGTGCTCGCTTCCCTGACAGCCAGTGCACCCGAAACCTTCTCAGGTCTGATGGCTCGTGGACTTGCTCGTTGGTTCGCCCAGTCAAAGCCCTCTCCCATCTTCCCATAGAGTTTGTCTCTTTCTTGACAACTTATAAGAGTTCTTAGTACAGGGGCTGGCCCCGTGGTTGAGTGGTTAAGTATGTGCACTCTGCTTCGGCGGCCCAGGGTTTTGCTGGTTCGGATCCTGGTTGCGGACAGGGCACTGCTCGTCTGGCCATGCTGAGGTATCATCCCACATGCCACAACTAGAAAGACCCACAATGAAAAATACACAACTATGTACCAGGGGGTGGGGGGCTTTGGGAGAAAAAGGAAAAATAAAATCTTAAAAAAAAAAAAGTTCTTAGTACAATATGGACTTTAGCTATCTGTCACCTTAATTAAACTAGTTTCTCAAATCAATGATTTGTCTGCTGACTTGGCTTGTGGAATATTTTGCTACATTCAAGTTTCAAGTTTGATATAGTTAAGTGTGACTGTAGGGAAATATGGAAGTATATATATAAGAGATTACTGTGTTTCTCCAGACAGAGTCTGTATAAGGAGAAGAAAACCAAAAAAATTAATATCCTCAAAGAGATGAGAGAAAGTATCGTGACCACAGAAAAAGATCAGAATGCTACAGAAGTAATTATTCAGAGAACAAAAACAAGCTCTTGGAAATAAACGTGACGGCAGAAATGAAAAGCTCAGTGAAGGAGCTGGAAGTCAGAGTTCAAGCGTCTCCTTGAAAGTAAAGCCAAAGACCAAAAAAAAAAAGGAAATAGGAAAGGTTTTTGGAGTCCAGTCTGAGAGGCCCGAGATCCTGACAGTGTTTACCACAGAAAGAGGGAGAGAGAAGACACAGGGAGGAGATAATTTAAAATTAGTAATTCAGGGGCCGGCCTGGTGGTGCGGTGGTTAAGTGTGCACGTTCTGCTTTGGTGGCCCAGGGTTCGCCGGTTCAGATCCCTGGTGCTCGGCAAGCCATGCTGTGGTAGGCGTCCCACATACAAAGTAGAGGAAGATGGGCATGGATGTTAGCTCAGGGCCAGTCTTCCTCAGCAAAAAGAGGAGGATTGGCAGCAGATGTTAGCTCAGGGCTAATCTTCCTCAAAAAAAAAAAAAAAAATTAGTAATTCAAGAAAATTTCTGGAACTGAAAGACAGGAATTTCCAGATTGAAAGAGCTGCTGGGCACCTAGCAATGGGATGAAAATGAAGCCACAGAAAGGCCATTTTCATGAACTGTGAGAACACTGAGGACAAAAAGAAGCCCTAAAACTTCAAGCCAGGAAAACCAACTGGGAGCAGCTCCAGTGGCCTGGTGGTTATAGTTTGGATGCTCGGCTTCGGCGGCCTGGGTTTGGTGTCCCCTGTCAGTATTGTCTGTCAGTAGCCATGCTGTGGTGGTGGCTCACATAGGAGAACCAGAAGGACCTACAACTATGTACTGGGACTTTGGGGAGAAAAGAAAGAGGAAGGTTGGCAACAGATGGTAACTCAGGGCAAACCTTTCCCAACAACAACAAAAAAAGAAAAAATGAAAAACCGAGTGGGTTTCACACCATGGATCAGCAGTGACAATAACATCGCATTTACCCACAGCAGCATTGGAAGCCGGGAGATGCGAGGACAATGTTCTCACAGCTCGGAGGGAAAATGGTGACTGTGCTGGAGTTTTATACCCAACCAAACTGTCATCTGGTGAGCATGGACTAAAGGCATTTTAAAGCCACGTGTCTGCCTGCCATGTGCCCTTTCTCAGGAAACTACTGAAGGACTACTCCACCAAACAAGGAGTAAACTGAGAAAGGGGAAGGCATGGGATCCCGGAAAATCCAACCCAGGGAAGAAGCAAAGGGAATCTTTAGGATGAAGACCAAGGGAGCTCTCAAGGTGCCAGCCCTGCCACAGACCCAGGCAGGATGGTCCAGGACTGCGCAGGTGGGGGCTCCTGCAGGGACCTCCTTGGAAATACCCTTGTGTTAGAACGTAAGCCACTGGTGGGAGCCTGAGGGTGAACTGGTGATGAGTTCAGAGAAAACTCAGCTGGCACGAAAAAAGAAAGGCAATTATTAACTCCAGGGAAAACAGCGCATCTGTGGGTAGGAACAGTAACCATGGCATGCCACAGGCCTGGCGTGAATGCAAATCTAATTGCTGAATACAGAGCTAACTAGAGATATAAGGTAACTCTGTTGGGAATATAGGAGGACCCAAGTGTGTGTGGGAGTGGGGAGAAGTGAAGAAATAATTGGCATCTTCCTTAGAGTGAATTTAACAGATAGCACCTGAGACGGAAACACTGAGAAGCTGATATTCAGTCACGTTCTCACGCAGACGCTGGCACAGGAGTCGCATGGGAAGATGGAAGTGGTTGCCCGTGGGGCTGGTGTCGAGGGTCTGGCAGAGGCTGGATTTGTTCAAGCCTCACAGAAATGTCTGACTCTTAAACTACATACAAGTATAACTTTGATAAAAAATGAAACTAAACATTCAGTTGGTGCACTCCCCATCCTCTGAGGCCTGGCAGTCATTTCAGCAAAACGGAAATGACCTGTAATGAAAGGTCAGCTGGAACTTGGCTGTGAATGTATCTGTTCTCATTCCATTTTCAAGGAAATGTCTCTGAGCACCTTTCCTGACTCTTCTACGTAACAGGCCACCTCACATTTCCACCCCCCTTTTGATAGTTGATATTCTGCTGGACAGCATCCATTTCTCTGGGTTTTCCCAGTATGGGGCCACATGCAGTCCAGCACCCCCAGCCCACTGTCCACCCTCCGGGTCAGGCACGGTCTCCATGGCGGCCACTCATTTTGCTGCGTGGCCGTGAGGCTGTGTCGCTATGGCGCTACCCTGTGCCTCGGGCCTCATCTCAGTTCACTGTGCCTGTGTTACCATGGCACCCTGGGCACTGAATCTCGGCAGGATTGAATTCCACACATAGACGTGTGTCTTGTCAAACAGGATAAATATGGTTTCCTTGCAAGAGTGTCTGGCCGTTGTCGTGTCCAGGAAACGTAAACCAAGCCATCTGGGTCTTGCTCCCTGCCTCCAGGGCCCCCAGGTTTCAGGCTGTCATCTTCAGGGATGGCTGGGTCATAAATAGGCCCGTGAACAGTTTAGGCCCTTCCCACAGGAAGTTCAGAAACACACACAAACGTCACAGAGGTCCAAGACCCCGACTTCTCCTGGGGAGCCCTGGCATCACCTCGCAGCCTTTCCATGGAGAAGACTGGGGCTGAATTTCCAACAGGCCACGGTGCTGTGGGGTCTCGGCAGCCCGGCCGACCAGCACTGGCCCATTTTCAAGCCCCAGCTTTCCCATCTGTTTTCAAACACTCCCACGTGTGTGTGGGCACAATCCCCACCCATCCCCCCAACAAATAGCATAAATGGCCGCTTTCTGTAAGACTGTCCAGCAAGGGCATCCACTTCCAGAGGCCCCCACCTTCTCCCGTGGGCTCCTTGCCGCCCAGGGCACAGCCCCATGCTCACAGCTGGGACCTTTCCAGAGTCCCTGATGCCCCAGTGCCACCAGCAGCATCAGGACACCTCAGAGACAGCAGGCTGGACCGCGGCTCAGAAGGGAAAGCTTCGGAATGGGCGCTGGTGGGGGTGGGGCACGGGTTCTGGAGCCAGCTCCGTCCAGAAGCGATCAGGTAACCTCGGACCCCAGGAGACAAACCTCTCCGGACGCTCCCCATGAGCCTCAGTCCTACCTGGTTCCCGAGGATGGCGGCATCCCGGCACGGCTCCTCAGGGCACCCGCTCTGCCTTATCATGGCCTGGCTGGTCGGAATGCGGTGGAAACCTTTGCCTGGTACAAGCGGCCTCTGCAACACAGCCCAGGAATTTTGCATTGAATAATTTTTAACTTCTGCTCTGAGAGAAAACCAGGGTTGTGTAAAGTGTCTGTCTACACAGGAATGCCAAGGGGCTTTCATTTGCAAGTAAATACCTCAATAATAACGAGGAAAACTGCCTTGGGGGAAAAAAGAAGAAAAAACAGAGAAAGAAAGTGCTCACAGGGCCTCAGGGCCCTGCCGGTCAGGCGGTCTTACCTCTCCCCCAGGGAAGTGAGGGCAGCGTCTCAGCCGGGGACCCGCATGGTGGACGGGCTTCTCTGGGGGCCGGCCCGCCTGGCGACTGCTCCCACTCCGCATCCCCCCACCTCCCCTGGCCTCTGACCCCATGCCCCGTCCTGCCATTTCTTTCAACAGCTTCAAATTTCAGAAACTGCCGGAGCCAGGCACCACCCCGGCGACCTGCCACCGCCTCCAGCACTCCCTGGGCTGCTCTGCACTCTTCCGTGGCTCGGACCGAGACCCTGTGACTGGACGTGACAGAGGCCGCACGCAGCTCCTGTAGGCCCTGTCGCCACATGGGGGCTGGCCCTGCTCCGATGACCATCACCCAGCGAGCTGGAACATGCACAGCCCCAAACCAGAGTTTTCCTTTAAAAAGACCTCCAGTTCCTCCAGCTCTGGGTCAGGCGTGACAGTCGCTCATAGTACCCAGGTAAGGCCTGTACACCCCATGTGGGAGGGCACCCAGGCGCCATGCGGCATCACCACCCACGGCAGAGGATGGTCCGACAGCCCAGCTCTGTCCCCCACAGGGGCCACAGGCTCGGCACCCTGCCTGCCGCCATAGAGAGCCCTGGGTGTTGGAGGGCTGAGCTTGGGAGGGGCTCTTGTCCAGCAGCCGGAGGTGCAGCCGAGAGAGAGGCCAGACACGAGGGGCCTGGGCAGGTGGGGTCAGGAGGGGCTGGTTCTCCAAACACACCCAGGCTCTGCTCCAGGACAGTGGGAAGCTCGCCTCGCAGTGACCCGGCTGGGCCAGGCGGGTGGACGGGACAGCAGTAGGCCCTCTGTCCAAGGAGGCGGACACTCTTCCAGCAAGGCCCACGCTGGGAACCATCCTCGGGGACAAGCATGGGGCAGGCCCTCAGGACCCGCGCTCTTGAGGGTGGTTGTGGAGGGCCGAGTGAGGAAGAGGACACGGAGCAGACCCAGGCAAGGCCGCGGGGCCAGGGCCCCCCACAGCCGAGGGCGGCCTGGAGGGGTGTAGGTGGCTTGGGGTTCTGGAACAAGAGGGCCCTGTCCCGCTCACCTGGGTGGGGGCACAGGTCCTGCCCCCGCCCCCGCCCGCCCCCACTCCCTGCAGGTTGTTTTGGGTGTGACGCCTGGCTGGCTTTCTTCCATTTCTTCCCTTGTTCACTCAGCATCGGATTTCAGGATGTGTCAGCGTAGCCCTGGAGCCGCTGATAGGCTGCTAGCGTTGCGTGGAGCCCACCACGGCCGCAGCCCCACGCCCAGCTCTGCAGGGACGGCCCCAGCCCGGCTGCCCTGCTGGCCCCTGGAACCCTGTACACACTGGGCCCATGGCCTGCACATGCACCAGTGCGCCACACTGGGCAGGTGGAGGCTGAGAGAGCCCTTCTCGTGACTCACTTGCATTTCTCTAACTGCTGATGAGCTTGGCCGTGCCCCTGTGCCAGGCCTTCCAGTTCAGGGTCTCTTCTTCTGGACGTGCTCACCCATGGCCTTTGCTCGCTTCCTTCTGTGTTTGTGAGATGTCTATCCTCTTCCTGTAAAAATGCAAAATCCCTTGTATGTCCCAGACCAGAGTACCTATGGATTTGCACATGTCAATTATCTCTCGGTTCTGTCGTGTCCGTTGGGCAGGAAACCCTGATTCTGATGTGATCAAATGTGTCCACTTCTCGCCGACAGTTTGTGTGTCTGAGGTTTGGTTTAGGCCCTCCCTCCCCGTCCCTCCAGGCCACCAGGCATCACCAGTGGTTCTTCGAAGGTGGCTGACCCGCACGTGCGATCCGGGACTCGTTCTGTTTTGCCCACAGCACGAGCCTGTCCCCAGACCCCATCCCGGCACTGTCATCCTGTATTAAACACACACGACCTCAGGTCTGTCCCCAGACTCTCGCTCCTGGGCCCGCGTGTCCTTCTTGCCCAGCTCCCCTGGTTTCGTAACCACCGCTTTGCCATGTGCCCGGACACCTGGAAGAGTGAGCTCCTCTCTTCCCTTTTTTTTTTTTTTTAAGGTTTACTTAGTTATTTGTGCCTTTTTCTTCCATAACTTTTAGAGTAAGTTTATCTAGTCCGACGGTAATTTTCAGTAGGGTTGCGTGGACCTACCAGGTTAATCAGGAAAGACTGAGGTCAATCCAAGAACATGGACTCTCCGTGGCCTCAGATCAGCATCCGTGGCCTGTATTTGAGCTTACAGCTCTCTCCATAGAGGCTGTGTATATTCCAGCTTATGTTAATTCCTAGGTACTTTATCATATTCCTTGCTATTTTGAATTCTTTTTTTTCTAATTGGTTATTGCTGGTATAGAGCAATATTGTTGGTTTTTTCTTTTTTTAAAAATTGAGGTGAAATTTACATAATATAAAATTAACATTTTAAAGTGTATGTTCTGGTGGCTGTTAGTGGCAAGGTTGTGTAGCCACCACTGCCTCTCTCTATTTCCAGAACATCTTCATCACTCCAAAGCAAGCCAGTACCCACGAGCGTCCCTCCCTGTTCCCCACGCCCCAGCCCCTGGCAACCACCAATCTACTGTCTGTTTCTATGGATTTGCCTATTCTGGATATTTCATATAAATGGAATCATACAATATGTGGCCTTCTCTGTCTGGCTTCTTTATAATACTATTGATTTTTTTATTGTGATAAAATACACATAAAATTTACCATTTTAACCATTTTTAAGTACATAGTTCAGTGACAGTAAGCACTTTCACATTATTGTGCAACCCTCACCCCCCCATCTCCAGAACTCCTTCATCCTCCCAAACAGAAACTCCGTCCCCATTAAACACTAACTCCCATCCCCCTCCTCCAACACCCCACCCTCCATTCCACTTCCTGTCTCTGAATCTGATGACTCGAGGGACCTCATATGAGTGGAATCAGCCGTATTTGTCTTTTTGTGACTGGCTTATTTTACTCAACACAATGTCTTCAAGATAATACTGTCGATTTTTGTAGGTTGGTCTTTTATTCAGCAATTTTATTGGACTGTTATTCTAATATTTGCCCATCAATTCTATTGGTTTTTCTAGATAAAAACCAATAGAATTTTTATCTCTTCTCTTATAACTGGCATGCCTCTCATTTATTTTTCTTTATCACGTTGGCTATGATCTCCAGCACTGTATGAGGCAGTACCATGATATGAGATCACTCTCGACCTGACCCAGATCTTAAAGAGAATGCACCGGAAGTCTCTCCACTTAGTGTCACGTTTGCTATGAGGTTTTGGCGTGTGAGCTTTATCACATTAGTGAACTTCCCTTTTATCACTAGTTTGCTAGAGGTATTTTTCAAATTATAAATAGATAGTGAAATTTATTAAAAGCTTTTTCTGCATCAACTGAGGTGACTACATCTTCTCCTTTAATCTATCAAACCATCCTTGCATTCTTACGACAAAGCCATTGGACCATGATATATCTTTTTAGTACACTGTTGCACAGAGGATCTTGATGCTACGAGCCAGACCCTACATCCTCTTCACCACAGGGCCGCACAGCAGGACCCACCTCCTCACTGCACTGCTTGACCGTCCTCCGCCCTGACCGCTCCTTGGCCTTCCCTGACCTGTGTGAAGGTGGGCAATGCACAGGAGTCAGGGTAGGCTCAAGACACCAGAAACAATGCCAGGCCTCCAGTGCATTGAAGCCCTCCCTGTTTCTCCACACCCTGTGTTGGGCACTGGGGGTTCAACAGCGAGCAGGTCCCTTCCCTGACATCCCAGGGCATCAGGAGGCCCCCTTGGAACTTGAGTGGAGTCCTCATAGTGATGGTAGATGTTAGCGTGTTGTAAGATGTGAATTCTAATGGCATTTAAAATGCTTACACCGTTCTCAGGAGAGAGAATCCAGGCAAAGAGAACAGAGATGGCATTTCAGAAAATGAATCGTTATATACAGGGCACAGAGCTCATCTTTTCCAGTGGAAAACATGGCAGGAAAAGACCCTACTGTCCAACATATAAGACATTTAAAGAACGGACGCATTGGAATCCTCAAGCTCTCACAGTAACTCCTTTTCACAAGGGAAGCACCTCCAGGACGCTCTGCTTGGGAAAACACCCAGCACCAAGAGTCAGAAAGCAGAAGCATAAAGCACCCTGAGGACTGATTCAGACAGACGGCCTCGCGGTGGGGCCAGTGCTGCACCCCCAGGAGCCGGCGAAAGCATAACCCTGACGGTGCACCTGCGGGCCCTAGGTGTGCGCTCTTGCTGCTGCCCAATCTGCAAGCATTGTGCCCCTTCTCAGGGGCGGCCGCTAACGCCACAGCGGCAGACCAGACCACCCAGGGGACGGGAGTAGAGAGGGACCCCAGGCCCCCAAATGGTATCCGTGAGCACCACCCAGGAGCAAGTCGGTACCAGGCACCGAGGCTGCAACAGCAAAGGGCGCAGACCAGGTCTTGGGAGATGGGGGGCTTTAGTGGGGACAGTGCAGGCTGAACAGAGGAAAGGAGGCAGGAGTGGGATCTCGGGGCATGTTCCGGGCAAGGCCCCTGCCTGAGAGGGAAGGTGCACAGAGTGGACAGGCGGTGAGGGCTGGGGGCAGATGGGGGGGTGGGTAGGTGCAGCAGAGGGGGAGGTATGACTTGGGGGGGAAGGGTTATGGCTGGGGGCAGGTATGGCTGGGGGTGGGGAAGGGCCAGAGCATGTGTGATCTTGCCTGCCAGCCGGGGCAAAGGATGGGATCTGTGGGGAAACCACAAATGTACAGGAGTTGGCAAAAGATGAGATGCCCTTGCCCGGCAGGAGTGACGAAAGTGGGCAGCCAACAAAGGCTGGGGAAGCCATGCTGCCAGGGCAGGTTTGAGGACCAGGTGACCAGCAGGGCCAGCCAGAGAGGGTCAGAGGGAGGCCATGGTGCTGGAACCACAACCACATCCCAGACAGCCGAAGGGTCAGAGGTCTTGTGTGTGCCCTGGAACAAGCACCAGGTCAGGGGCCTGCAGGCCGTCCGCTCTGGTCTTAGAATCCCATTCTTTCCGCTGAACCCACAGCACCCCTCTCCCCATAGCAGGGCCCCTGGTCGGCTCTGGGCTGGACGTGAGGGCTGATGCATGGGTCCACACGATCACATTTGTCCTCTGACTGACACCTGGGGGCCAACACG